CAACACTTAATCAATGGATACCTAGAAGAAAAGAAAAAAGGACAGAAATAAACTAATCTATCTACGAGTTTGTTCCCTCACCGACATTATGTCTATCTCTTTTGAATTAAATTTTTTTGCCTTATCAAAAAAGAGATAAGAATTGTTTTAGATATATAATTAATCAACAACTCGTCGAAATAAAGTGTCGGAATGTGCGATGGGTTGAGCCAATCATGCATCTGGGCTGGTTCCACCAAACCCTGATCACGATGTTTCTGAAGAGGGTTGACACTTCCTACGAAGCGCTTGAGTAAGACGAGTGATTAGACCTGTTTGCTTTCCGATTTGATTATACGTGACGTCTGGAATCCTATTCATTTCATTGTTGTTGCCGGTGTAGTGCTGGCATGACCTTTGATGGATTATTATATCTTGATTCTTAAAAGAGAACGGTGGGGATGAGGACAGTGGGGTAGCACGATTCCCCAAATTGGTCTGGTGCGAGTGTGCGTGTAGGTTGGTTTGGCGCTGCGAAATAAGAGAGGCCGAACTCGATGCGGCAGCTGCGCGGCGCTGCAACCGGGCTAAGTACCTAGCTGCCGTTTGTTGGTCCCCAAAACGAAGCCAGAAGACGTCTGCGTGGGCTCGTTGAAACTGGCGTGACAAGTCGAGAAGTTAAAGTCAAATTTGCATTCTTTAGATACTTTCACAAATTACGTATGCGGTGGTACTTAAGTCTATAGTAATTCGAATTTTCAACCCGTAAACGGATCGACTTAAATAGTATGAAGAAGCTAATGGCTCGTCAAATTAATTTTACATAATTAATGATAGAAAAGCTCAAAATAATAAAATAAGTGCAACTAATTAGGTGGAAGAATGCGATTAGATAATAATGCAAACGTTTGAAATTGGCGAAAGGTCTATTTTATTATTTGGCCTCATCCATCAGTGATGTCGGCCTTCAAACCCGGTCAATTCAAAACGTTTCATCAGGATGACTCAAAAACTTTGATCTACAAATTAGGCCAGGTGCGGAGATGAAAGAATAGATCGGCTCGAAATAAGATGCGAGGATGTTATAAGCACCAATTGTTGACCAGTATGCAGCGGATCCAGATGTTACTGCAGGAGATGGATTGTTATTCGGTTGAGTGCATGCATCGATAAGGTATAGGAAAGCTTGAAAATAATATCTTTTTGGGCTAAAATGCATCTTCGGTGTAAATGCCAATAGAAATTTTTGACAAGAGGTCTTAACACCTTTCATAGGCAGATAAGCAAGTATTTGCCTAGGACACTACTGTGCCTTCATTCTCAATGTACATTTACTGATATTTTTGACATTACAATGATGAGTCTTAAGAAACTTCGAGATTTTGCTCACCAAATAAAGGAGATATTTCCATCTGAGTTGTTAAGTCATCACATTCATTGCCACTAATGTCGAAGCTATGTATGCAATCGCAGTATGTCGCATCTAAACCGACATAGAAGATATTAAAAAATGAGAGGATTTTCATGAATCCGCTAATTTATAGCTGTTGGCCTCACTCCAATTTAGAGTAAAATTATGTGATGAAGAAATCCAAGAGAAATTTCGTCAGAAGAAGAACGAAGATTCCTCCAAGATAAGTGTTGGCTTTATTGGGATATTCCAATCGTTGGTGTCTCCGCAGCATTCTTATATTCCTGTGAGGACATGCTAGGCCTTCGACTGTC